TTCTGTGTTCAATGTAGAATGGATTTTATTAGTATTTTTTGTATTTATCAACAGTATGTTGACATTATTATTATTTTATCCCCGAGCCGGTGCGGAGCACCATGCAAGGGTACTAATTCCGCCCAGGGATTAGGAATTACACCCGGGTATTCTGACAGAAAATAGGCGAATCCAAAGTTGCCCAAATGTCATGGACGTTCAATGGTCATGGTACTTGTGCGCACGCGCAAAATTTGAACGAGTGACGACTGGTAATGAACAACTTGCTGATTTGCTAAGACGAAACGTTCGTGTTTCAGTGAAAAACGTCAGCAATTTAACTGTCAGGTTTGCAAACTATTGTTTTAAAAAAATGTTTCGAAAACACAATATGAGATGTGGAATCAAATAACAGATAAAACACTGGGAAGAGTTTAAAATATTATCAGAATTGGAAGAATTAGCGGTGAAAAAGAACAACTGGTTTATAATCCTTGAAATGGTAGCAGTCTATTTTGTTTATTTCAAGGTTTCTTTCGTATTTGCTGTACGAATACATTTTATGACCTTGGTACAGTATTTCGTTTTGCTCGGTTTTGCGAAGACGTGACCGACTATTTAAGGCTTTACATCATCGTTTTAAGTTCAAAAAGAGTTCTTATAAGTGTATTTTGCAGTTTTAATATAACAAATATCACTTTAAAGGTTTATAAAGTCGACTGCAATCACTGCATGAATTTAATAATCGAAAAACAACAATCGACGTTCACTGCTTGGTTATTTATATTATTTGTGCTGTTTTGATGTTTTGAAGGTTTAGCTATAATGGAGTATTAACTCTCACTTAAACTGTGAAAGTCTATAACTTAATGCAACAGAAAGCAGCAGGAAAACAGGTGATTTCACTTCACCTTTACGACTGTGTTTGTTTTCGAAAAATTTTAAACATCAGCTATCGGCTTTACATTTAGGACATTTCATAATATTGAAGGTAAGGTCTGGCTAGCTCAGGAAATATTTTGCTTCGTTTGAAATGGCGAGGGGTTGCTGCATGCATGTATTTCTAGTTAGCATTCAAGACAGCATGCTGTTCATTCTCAGTAGCATTCTGATTTCCAGATTAGCACTCTGAGGAAATCAAGCTGACTAAATAACTTTTTAGTAGAGCTCTATGGATGAAAATCAGCCTATCTGTCTGTGACCCAGTGCAAGTGTTAGCAAAATCCATATCCTTTGCTTCAATGGGCAATCTGCAAATGGGCAATATTTTGTTGCTGCTAAATGCTGACTCTTGGCTAATACTATTTCTCTTACAAAGTAATGTGTTTTGATTGAACAATCAGAGATACAGTGTACATACATTTTACTCTATATCTGTCATTGGATCTACTTTCCAATTTTTGGTCAGAGAACAATACTAAATTTAGCATTGTTCATATTAGGGGTAAGGGGTTGTTATTCAAAAAATTGTACAACCCCAGTAAAGTACAACTTCAGTAAAGTACAACTCTGTAATGGACCAGCACTTTCTCGTATTGGACCAGCACTTTCCCGTAGTGAACCTGCGTTACCGGAGATCCATCACTAGTGATAAACTGAGAAATTCTGATTAAAAAGGGCCGAAATAAATGGTCAAGAGAGAATTTAATTGCTTTTGTAATTAACAAAAACATATACTGATACTTAGCTGTGCCCTAGTGTAACTTGCCTGTGCCCTGGTGTAACTTGCCTGTGCCCTGGTGTAACTTGCCTGTGCCCTGGTGTAACCTGAGTGTGCCCTAGTGTAACTTGCCTGTGCCCTTGGTGTAACGTGGCTGTGCCCTAGTGTAACTTGCCTGTGCCCTAGTGTAACCTAGGTATTTTCTAACTACAAACATTTAATGAACACAATGTACCTGCGTTACCGGAGATCCATCAAAAGTGAAAAACTGAGAAATTCTGAACAAAAAGAATCCAAATAAATGTTCAAGAGAGAATTTAAAATTTGCTTTTGAAATTAACAACATTTCTCCAGACAGTTGGTAAACCATACATTTCTTGTTTGTTTCAAGCGCAAATATACATGCCCCTTGTGTCATATTCTAAATTTGCTTGCTCGGTCGATCTTTTGCACTAACTTCGCTCTTCAAAAATCAAAAAGACCTTGGTCCGATAGTTCTCAAAGTAAAAAAATCTGAATAAACAGGACATCTTGAGAGTCGAAATATTAATCAAGCAAGACACAGGTTGAGACTGTAAATTATTAATCAGAGAATCTAATAATTTTTTAATTTCAGCTACCTCCAACATACCCGTGCTGGCCCAATTAATAATGGAAATTCTATTCTAGTTATGCGTTTTTCATACGCATGTACACGAGCAATTGCATAAAATTATATGATATATAAATCTACAGTTCTGAATATCAGTATCTTAAGAAAATATAAACCAACGGTAACTCCGACAGTCAGTTTGATTGTTCAAGCTTTCAACTATGCGAGAGCTTGTTCAATTAAAATGCTGATTTTTAGAGTTAGCGTTGTTTTGTACTGTAAGTCTATTATTTTTTACTGTAGAATGTCAATAAACATCCTAAAAGACAAATGTGTCAGTTAGTCACCAATACGGGAGTCCATATCTTTATTTTTTTGTTTTTCTCTCTTCGCAATTTTCCTCTCCGTCCTCAGCTTGTCATATATTTGCTGGTTGGTAAATCTCTTTGTAAGGTGCTTTAAATTCTTATTCTCCTTCAACATTGACACAGCAACTTTGGTGGTGATTGGCTTGTCCGAATGAATGACTGCAGAGAATAACTTTCTGAACTCCACCATTTCCTTATCACTAAACAAGCGATCTTGTCCACCTCTGGAACGTGACGATGGAGGAACTACATCCGATGATGATGATGGGCGTGAGTACTGGCTGCTCTCCTCTTCACCATCTTCTCTGCTTTCTTCCTCCTCATTGTCCTTACAGAGTCTCTCTTTCTTATCTTTGCTGCCTTTCTCTTTGCAAGCTATATTTCAATAAGAAATGTCAACTTGAGCAATCATATTATTAATTATACTAATTTTCTACGCAAAATACAATTGATTGCAATACAATGTTAATGTAATGAAATGTAATCGTCCAGGGTGCATTGCCATTTTAAATTGAATGGAGGAACGAAAAAATGGACGGGTAATTGTTTTTAAAACACCAGGGAAATGTTGCCGGAACATCAATGATGGTAAATGCTTGAAGATTTTAAATAAAATAAAAGAATTATATTCTTTTTCAAAATGTTTTTCCTTTGGTTTGTTTTGTTGTCAATTATATGGAGTCGCCGGAGACATACAGTAGACAATAATATTTCCTGAAAACTATTTCTCGTTGTAGTGGAGACATATTATAAACTCCTTATTAACCTCAAAAGCTCTGTCCATAGAGAAAAATATTTTGCTTTCCATATTTCAAGCCCTAAGGGCGAGGTACTCAGGATATTGAAGGCAAAATATTTTCCCCCACGGACCTAGCGTTCGGTTAATAAGTAGTTACTATTGCAAGTTAAGACGAATATGGATCCAATAGGTGTTTTATTATGCGTGTATGGAAGAAAAAGCTTTATAATAGTTAAACCACAGCAACAACATATATGGTTAGTAACACTGGTCCATATTTGTGCATGAGAAAAGGCAACTAAGGTAAGTTATAAACAAAATCAAAGTTCTTGCACAGTATTGAATACAATATGTGATATAGAGACTAACAAAAACTTACCACTAGCAATTGGCATGCCAAAACGTTTGAGTTTCTCCTCTGTAGACTCCTTCTCTTGTGGCGGGAGGGACGATTAGCCCAATTTAAAATAGGTTCGGACTTTATCTCTTATCTTGGAAGGAGTCATTGGATTCTGTCTTCTCAGAGCCATCACGCATAATGCGTGAAAGTTCTTTGGATGTTTTTACTGCAGACTTTCCCTTATTCTTTAGCAAATAATATTTGCCGGCGTTGTCTTGTTATGTACCATGAGATCTGCTAAGTCACCTCGCATTTCTTCATTGCACTCATGAACGGCAGAAACCGCAGCCTTTCTGATGGAAGTTGGACCACCTATAGATGCTTTTTTTCGAAACACCTTGCCCCAAGATGAGCCAATTTGGGCACCAACTTGGGATGAATTTAGTGGTGTGCCTCTGTAACTAAAAAAAACTATGGGTTGACATCCACCTATATCACCACCATCATCATTGCCTTTATTTCTAACATTCCCACACTTGCCACCAATATCACAATCAACTCTATCACCACTACATTCACCATAATTATCACCTCTACATTCACCATAATTATCATCATCATCATCATCCCTCTTCTCAATATCTCCATCCACATAATCTTCAACATCCTCACAATTACCCTTCTTATTGCCTCCACTAAAAGCATTATAACTGCAATTACCACTAAAACCACCATTACCGCCATCACACTCGTCTTCATCACCACTGTCCCCATCATGACCCCTGTCATCACCATCTCTATCACTTTTCTTGTCACCACTCTTAACAACAGAACTCAAGAAACTATTATAGTCTTCAGAATCCTCACTGTCATACACAGATTGGTAAACCTTTCTTGATGAGCTTGGCTTTTTCATATTCTGCAAGGTTCCTGGCTGATCAAGGTCATTAAACCGGAACTATAGTAGGCCACATTATATAGCGTGATACGGGGCGGGGACTTTTATGAACAAGCTATAGTTAATTTTAGAAAGATTGACATGTTTCAAAATAAGAGCAATTAGTGTAAGACAAAGCATACATAACAACATGGCGACTGTGAGAGTGAGAAATATTGTGAGACTGTGAAATGTTTAATGTAATATAATTTATTTTTGTAAGTTTTATTTTCTGGAATTTTTCGATTAAATATTATAGTATACTACATATGTGATGAGCTTGGTATACTAGTGGTGCCGTGACCAGGATACGAGTGGATTAAAGCGACGAAAATCAATCAAACAAAGCAGTAAAATACGAAGACAACACTGTTTATTTATCACTATGAGCGACGAAGAAGCAAGCAAGATTACAAACGCAGGCGAGCAAAAACTCAAAGGAGATATTGAAAAAGAAATTGCTAAGTTAAAGTATTTCTTAGAAGAAACAAATGAAATTATTGAAGCGAAAGATTGCGATGAAATGGAAGCCATATACAATCGCGCCGGGAAAATAATTGTCAAAATATCAGAGCTTGTTTCGCAAACAGAAGAGTTGAAAATCAATAACGGAAAAACAAACGTACAGTCAGACAATGAAAAAAGTAAACAAAGTCTAAATATTCAGAGCTGATCGTAGACAAAGAGAAAATTGCACAACAACTAAAGGAAAAACAAGAAAAGGCTCAAGACGAAGCAGAATTACGACGATTAGAATTAAAAGATAAACAATTTCAACAAAAAGAACAAAGGCGGGCTAATTTGAAACCGGGTGAAGTTGGTTACAAGATTGCATGGGAAAGATTAAAAAGCGAGTATGGTCACCCCAAACATGTTATCAATGCCCATATGGATGCAATAATTAACTTAACTCCAGTGAGAGGGCATAATTATGAAAAGATGCAAGATTTCTATGAGAAATTAAGCAATAATTTCGATGCAATTCAAACTCTGGGAGACGGTGAAAAACTTTCCGGATTTGTTATGACCACTATCAACAAGTTGCCACACATAAAAGCCGACTTGGTTCGAGCAGATGAGGACTGGGAAGAATGGTCCATGGATGTACTATTACTGAATTTGCAAAAGTGGCTTCGACGAAATAAAGTGGAAGATGCGAGCAATCAGAAAGAAACCAGATGCAAGAAACCAGAAGGACACTGGTATCAAAAGTCATCCGGACCCCCAAAACCTCACTGTGTTTTTTGTTCGAATAATGAATACTGGAGTGATCAATGCAAAACAGTGAAACGATTGGCCGACCGAAAGAAATTCTTCGCTGAGAAGAATTTGTGTTTTAACTGTAGTCGCACTGGGCACAGGGGAAATCAATGTCGAAGTCGTGGTTGCCTGAAGTGTAAGGCCAGACATCACACAAGCCCGTGTGATAAGAATGAAGATGACCAGGAGAACAAGTTAGTAACTGGATTTACCACTCTAACTGAGGAGAAATCGCTTCCAGCCATTGTACCTGTCAAGATAAAGGGACAAACCCTGTGGGCATATCTCGACACTGGCTCAGGTCGAGACTTTATTTCACGCGAGGCTGCAAAGAAACTCAATTTGAATCCAACACATCACGAATCCCACGAGATTGTAACCGTGACTGGCACCTCGACTCAAGCCATGCCTATTTTCCAAACAACCATAAATTCTCTTGATATGAAAGTACATGAAGATATTGAATTGACCGGTTCTAGACTCCAAAATTTTACCACAGTTAAAATACCAGATATAAATGAACTCAAGAAGAAATACACCCATATGCAAGACAAAGGATTTTACATGACCAGCGATGGACAACATCCAATTCATATCATACTTGGTGATGGCACATACAGCAGAATTTGAACTGAGAAAGTTTACAAAGGTAATCCTGGAGATCCCTTGGTGGAAGAGACAACATTCGGATGGGTTGTTCATGGTGGTGAGAATTATTCGAGCGATGCCTGTATGTACCCTAGAGAGGTTAACGATTACGAACAGTTATATAGTCTTGATGTTCTCGGAGTTGAAGATCGTGGTGAAAATGACCAAATGCAAGTGCTTGCTGAGTTTCGAGAGAACATAACTAGACAAGATGATGGCAGATACAAAGTCAGCATACCATGGATTCCAGGGAGTAAGTTAACAACCACAAACGAACAGCAAAGCAGAAGACGACTGAGCAACGTGAACAAAAAGTTGGCGAAAGATAAAACCTGATGCAAGAGTGTGAAAAGATTATCGAGGATCAGTTAGCAAGCGGTGTGATTGAGAAAGCCCTGGACAAGCCATCAGGAGAGCGAGTGTACTACATGCCACATAAGCCAGTCATAAGGCAAGATGCATCAACTACCAAAGTGCGAATGGTTTTTGACGCGAGCTCCAAACCCCATCCACTGGCATCCAGTATCAATAATTGTATGTTTACTGGGCCTTCCCTCCAACCGCTGTTTGTGGATCATGGTACGAGCAAGAATGTCGTCAAATCTGCTTCTTGCAGACATTCAGAAAGCTTTCTTGCAGATAGCAATCAAAGAAGACAGAGATGCTTTCAGATTTCTCTTTGAATGCGACGAGAAAGAGGAACATTTTCGGTTCGCGAGAGTTCCATTCGGGGTTGAAGCCAGTCCTTCCTTACTTGGTGCGACATTGGAATACCACTACGACAGCAATCACCAGAAGAATTAGAGGAAACAGTGACTGCCCTTAGAGAAAACACATATGTGGACAATATTATGCAAACGGGAAGTGACATTGATAAGTTGGAGAAGTTCAAGAAAGAAAGTCAAGTTGTTCTTGTGAGTGCAAGATTACCAATTCACAAGTGGGAGTCGAACATCGAGGCATTAGAGGATGAGAACATGCAAAATCCTAGCAAAATTCTTGGTCATGTATGGGACAAGCGAGCAGATACTCTGGAAATACAAGTACCAGCATTACCGGAGACTAAATCAGTTACGAAACGAAGTATTTTGAGTCAGCTTTGCAAAGTGTACGATCCATTGGGAATAATATCACCCACGATGGCCGAAGGAAAACACATTTATAGAGAGGCTTGTGAAGAGAAAAAAGGATGGAATGCTGAAGTTTCGCCAGAATTGAAGAAACAGTGGCACAAATGGAACAAACAACTAAAGAACGTGAAAGTACCGAGGAGCTTAACAGGGAAATCAAAAGAAACGAAGGTTATAGAACTCCACGTGTTCGCCGACGCAAGTAATTTCGCATGTTCTGCAGTAACCATAGCGGTAGTTGAACATTCTTCTGGAACGATCAAAGGGCTGCTTACATCAAAATCTCGGATTTCAAAAAGAAACACGTCGATACCCAGACTCGAGTTCGTAGGAGCTCACATGGCTGCGAACATGGCAAAGAATTTACATAATGCTCTTAAACGACAACCTATCAAGACCATTGTGATCTGGTTAGATAGCATGGTGGTACTTTACTGGTGAACCAATCCAGGGAAACCTTGGAAGACGTTTGTTTCCAATCAAATAAAGAAGATAGCTGAGATAACCAGCGAGCTCGGTATCGTTTGGAAGTATTGCCCGTCAAATAAGAATCTCGCAGATCTAGGCAGCACAGGAGCAACCATAGAAAGATTGAAAAACGGAAGCTGGTGTATATATAATTCAGTCAAATTCTATATCTGGCTTCACACGCTTCGCTTAATAAACTTATTATACTGTCACTGATTAAAGTGTTCTTGCTCTACAAACCGCGTCTTACACTTTAGCAATTGTCTATAATACTTGAACTCGGCGACTATATATGTTCTTGTAAACAGCACCTTGAAAACGCTCCTAATTCAAGTCTTATCGTAAAATCGTTTGTTTTTTACACACAACAAGTTTTTACTTAATTATTTATGCAATCTGCTCTTAATGAGTAAGGCCATTCAATTTGAAACAACAGGCTTGATTAATCGGCCATATCTAGATCGGTAAACCGGAACATCCTCCACAGCCAATGGCAAATTGTCATTCTTATTAACAGACGTTGCTTTTCCAGATGCACTCATATTTTGCCTCTGTAACAAGTCGTAATGGTTCTCTAGTAAATGTATTCTTTGAATTGGACGGTTAATGACTCCTTTCTTCGTGCGAACGGACACTGTTCGGATTAAGCCATCTCTCCCAGGAAAAGTGTTTTCTACTTTGCCAAGCTGCCACTTGCCTCGTGGAAGGTTATCATCGGAAACCAAAACCGTATCCTTTGGCTTTAATGGTGCCATTTTCTGAAGCCATTTTTGACGCATGGTTAGCCTCGGTAGATATTCCTTTTGCCAGCGCGACCAAAAATGTTGTTGAAGCCGTTGTTGATAACGATACTGATCACTAAGAGATATCGTGGAACTCTTCGCAAGGTGATCTGGAACTTCACCTAATTGTCGATTGAGTGCCAGTAATGCCAGGGTTATGATGACTCCGTCCTGAATATCATCTCCAATATATGTCAAGGGTCGAGAATTTATTATCGCTTCAATGTTCGTTAATGTAGTCAACATTTCCGTATAAGTTAATAACGACTTTCCGAGAACTTTTCTCAATGGCTCCTTTAACTGTTGACACACTCGTTCCCAGTGTCCCCCATGATGACTTGCTCTCTCCATTATAAATTTCCAAACCACGCCGTCGTTTTCCAATCGATCTTGCACAACTTTAGGATCAATTTGCGTTAGCTTCAATTTCTGTTTTGAAGCGCTGAATACTCGAGCTGCCTTGTGAAAGGTGGTTTGGTTGTCAGAACGTATGGTATGTGGCATTCCCCTTTGATTTGCCATGCGACGAAAGGCTTGCAGAAATTCTTCAGTAGTCATATTGTTCGTTAGCTCGAAGTGGACTGCTCTGGAATCCTCGCACGCAAAGATACAAACATAAGCCTTGGTGGTCTCCCGTTTCCCCTTTGCTTGCAATTTCTGTTTAAGATATAATGGACCCATGAAGTCAAGTCCAACGTTGGTAAAGGCTGGAACCATTTGTACTCGTTCAACCGGTAGAGGAGCCATCTTTTGCTGTTGGGGCTTAGTTTTCCAGTGCTTGCAGGTTAGACACTTATTCAGTATTCTCTTGATTTCACTCCAACCTCCAGTAATCCAGTATTGCTGGCGAAGAATGGCAAGCGTAGTTTCTGGACCAGCATGACTTGCGTTGTAGTGAACAAATGCAACACCAATTTTTCCACCAACTCATCATGATGTGATATAATTATTTGATGCTTTGCTTCGTACACTATTTGAGCGAATTGCAAATGTCCTCCGACACGAATGACCTGCTTTTGCTGATCAAATATTGGATCCAGCTTTAAAAGAGGACTGTTTGAGGGAATATTTTTTCCTTTACTCAATCTTTCTTATTCATCACGGAAAACCTTTTTTTGGATATTTTTTAACCACAGATACTCAGATTCTTTTATCTCCAAAGTGGACAGACGACCATTTTTTGAAATTTCACGCAATCGTGACCACTTCATTATCCAAGCAGTGATTCGCAACTTCTTGAATCCCAACATTACAGATAATAGCGTTAGCTTTCGTTTTCGCTTCGGAGAAACATTCGTTTGGAATTTCATCAGACGAGCTCTTTTGAGGCCAATTTATCGTATCTTGCTGAAGCCACGAAGGACGGTGCCACCAAAGTTGACAATTTGTTGACAATTTGTTGACAAGTCCTGTATAGATAAACCTCTGGAGACGAGATTTTCATTTCCCAGACAGTAATGCCATCTCTCTGGGTCGACTCTGTGCTGTATATCTTGGACTCGATTGGCCACAAAGACTTTCCAATTATTACTTGATTTTCGAATCCAACTCAAGACCACCTGACTGTCGGACCAAGCGTACACTTCATGCACAGGTATTCTGAGAGCTTTGATGACGTAATCAATCAATTTTGCTGTGACATACGCTGCAACAAGTTCTAAATGAGGAAGTGTGATTCTTTTGGCTGGCGCGACTCTCGATTTAGCCATGACAAGGTTAAACGACCGCTTTTTATCTTGATCCTCCACGCACAAGTACAACGCTGCGCCATAAGCTTTAAGACTTGCATCTCCAAACCCGTGGAGTTCAATTTTCTTAATGTCGTTTTCTTTAGGTAATAGACATCTCGGAATTTCAACATTTTCTAGCTCACTTAACTCATGTTTCCAATCATTCCATTCTTTTGCAATGTCATCGTCCAATGGATCGTCCCAATCTTTACCTCGCGCCCATAACTCTTGAAATAATAACTTCGACTGCATGAGGAATGGTGACACAAATCCCATTAGATCAAACAATCTTGCATACAGGCTAATTAGACTTCGTTTGGTCATTGGATCCGGTTCATTCGCAATGGCTGATCCAGCTTGGTAGAGAAACCCATCTTTTACAGTGTTCCATGAAATTCCTAATGCTTTTAATAGATCTGATAATTTCTCGGGACCATAGGTATTAGGGGTGATAAGGAAATTTGGTGGTCTATCTTCTGGAGGAATACGCTCCATCACTGTTTTTGAATTTGATGCCCACTTCGTAAGATGAAATCCTCCTGAGTGCATTAACTTCGACAACTCTTCCTGTAATTGAATTGTACTTTGATCATCGTGGGACCCCGAAAGTAGATCATCCGCATACATATTCTCCAAAATTTCTTTGGTAGCCTTCGGGTAAATATCTTCATTAATTTTAGCATGCTTTTGAACTGTACCGATGGAGAGGAATGGGGAAGAGGTATTTCCAAAAGTCACTCGGGTCATACAGTACGTCTTTGGAACATTGTTGATACTAAGATCACGCCATAAAAACCGATGACTGTTTTGATCCTTCCTCATCAGACAAATTTGGAGAAACATCTTCCTAATATCTGCCATTAGAGCTATTCTGTGACATCGAAACCGTAGCAGAACTTGCACCAGATCCGGCTGGAGTTTCGGGCCTTTCAATAGACAAGCATTTAAGGAAACACCGTCAGGGGTTTTGCTACTTGCATCAAATACTATTCTACATTTCGTTGTGGATTTATCTTCGTGGAACACTGCGTGATGAGGGAGATATCGGACTCTTCCTGATTCGTTTTCATCATCTTGCATAACCTCTCGCACGTGACCATCTGCGATATACTGATTTGTAGCATCACGGTACGATTTAGCTTTCTCTGGATTTCTTTTGAGAGTTTTCTCAATTGAGATAAGTCGCTGCAACGCTTGGTGATAATTGTTCACGAGGGGAGGGGTATTCTTCTTCCAAGGTAGGCCGACTTCGTATCGCTCTCCATCAAACATGATATTCTTCTCAAATTGTTCCATGGCAAATGCTTCTTCTTCAGTGTACTGCGAATTTCTTGGTTCATCAACAACACCGACTGCGTCAAGTTCCCAAAAACGCTTTAGTAAACACTGAGGATCTTCTACTTTGGCTACGCTTAGCATGCTCACCGTCTGGCTAGTTTTGGAATTTTTCCCAGGAACTGGACCACTTAGAAGCCATCCCAACTTAGAGCACATTGCGACTGGAAAACCTTCAGCACCTCGCTTGACCGAATCTTGGACCAAGTTGTGATATTGATCAATTCCTACGAGTAGGTCGACGGTTGCAGCTTTACGAGGAAAATGATCTGCAAGTTCGAATTCTTTAAATAACTGCATTTCTTCACATCAAACTTGACTTCCTCTAACCGTACACAAACATTGTTTACTGTCCACGCTTCCATATCTATTGAATGTTCAGCACCATACGAATTTAGTGGCACAAGCTTAAATGATACCCGATGTACTTTCTTTTGTTGATATTCTCCGCCCAGCATATTGATCTTCATTGTAGTTGACCGATTATCTTTCTTCATTCCAAGATTATAGCTGATGCTTGAACGCAGAAATGTTTCTTCTGACCAACTGTCTAATAGAACGCGTACCACACATTTGATTCCATTATAAATAAGTCGAGCACAAGCTGTGGGAAGTAAATTCTGCTGACCAGCTTTCGAAGAGACAAATCCTGACATGCTTGCTGAACCATTTTCCTGATTCTCGGGTTTAACACTATCGATATGAAGGAGTTGGTGGTGACGCTTTCCACACTCATTGACGGGACATTTCGGTTTCTTACAGGTCCAGGAATTGTGGGATACATTGCCAGGTTGTAAACAGTTGTAACATGTTTGAACAGATGAGTTCTTCTTTAACATGTTCCATCTTTCTTCTGGTGATTTACTTAGTGCAAACCTACATGTAACTGTACTATGTTGCTGAGAACAAAAGCCACATTTGTTACTACCATCCGTAGTATTCAGTAAAGCGGCTGCAGAGGAGAGATTTTCGTCATCAACATTCGCTCTATCCCTTTTCTTGAATTGCCCGAATCCGCGACGCTTTGATTTAATTGGAAGTTTGTTTGCTTCAACTTCATCTCCAGCTTCCTTACTCAAAACGTAACCCTCCAAGAATTTGAAAAACAATTCAATATCAACAGTTGTATCATCTTCGTCACTGATTTTTGCAAGTTCGAGCTCCCATTTCTCTCGCAAATCGCCTGATAGTTTTGTTTCCAGTATGGGTAACATAACCATAGTAAGACTTTCGTTCTTTTCTATCTTAAGTCCATTCGATTCCAGACTTCTCAACCGATTTCTTAAGGTGTCGTAGACGTATCTTAGAGCTTTCGAATCAGTTACATCTGGCGTCTTCAATCCAAGAATCGACTTGACCAACTCGCTGATTACCAGTCTCTTGCGCCCAAAACGGTCTTTCAAATCTTGCAATGCCTTCTCATAATTGTCATTAATTACAGAGTATCCTTCAATACATCAAAATGCTTTCCCTGATAAACAGGCTCTGAGATGAGTTAATTTCTGCACATTGCTTAACTTACGATTAGAACCAACGGCAGCATGAAATGCATCATTGAAAGATGGCCATTCCAATATTTTTCCCAAGAACTTAGGTAGCTCCAACGATGGTAGTTTAACACTTTGAACTTCGGATGTTGCTACAGTTGTATTTCGTCCGATGTATATTTCAGCTTGATCTTCAGCTTGAACAATTTGTGCACGCACATCTTCCCATTTTTCAATCTCTGCTTCAGCAAGATAGTCGTGATCAGCATGTGTTACTATTTCTTCTAGAACTCTAATGCATTCGCTCTCAATCCCATTTAATTTCCGAAGTTGGCGCTCCACACGCTTCGCGTCAGCTTTTTCTCCAATCAAACTGTCTAACTCCATCATTGTTCTTTCCATGCTATTCGTCAGAAATTTCTTCTTTCGTTCCATTTTAATAAGAAAAGAATCTGCACCATCATGTCGAAAAGATTGCCTTTCATTTCTATTCTCCATATCGGGTTCAGCTTCTCTTGTAGCTTCGCTAATAGTGCTAAGGTCTTGTCTAAAATGCCCCAATGGCTTTTCTTTCGATTCTGATTTCTGAACTAATGGGGTAGACGACTTCGGCTCTTGTAACATTTGCATCATAATTTCCATTGATTGACAAGTAAGATCATTTTGAATAGAATGCCGCAACTCATAAATACAGTTTTCTACTTGAATAATACACACTTCTGAATTTTCCAAACGTTTTTCTAAGGTATTGTCTGTAATTTGCGGAGAAAATTGTTCGTCAAAACACTCGTGCTCAACAACGAGATCATCTTCAACGATCATTGTAAATTTCGTTTGATAATACTGCAGCAGCCTTGCTTTCAACTCTGCTTTTGTACCATGCGCATCCAACCCGAACGTCGAACAACATACTTTTAAATCGCTTATCGACAATTGTTCAACTAAGCTTTCTGCTTCTTGTATATTCCTAGGTCCAACTTCGAATTCTTCGGTTGTTGCTGTGCCTGTGGCCATAACCTCTGTTCATATACGGTAGTTTATAACTTAAAACTAAGTAACCATTTCCTGCTACCAATGTATAATTCAGTCAAATTCTATGTCTGGCTTCACACGCTTCGCTTAATAAACTTATTATAGTGTCACTGATTAAAGTATTCTCGCTCTGCAAACCACGTCTTACACTTTAGCAATTGTC